GCAAATACCGCCGATGACAGAGTCCCAAGTGAAACTATAGTTAACAGAAGACAATTCGGTTTTAAACTTTATCTGTTTCTAAACAAAAGAAAACGATTAATTTAGTACAATAAACAAGGAAATTACAATTATCAAGCAGGATGAGCAAACGTACCGGACAGTATAGCGTGTCTTTAGAAAATGAATAAAAAACATGTGTCACATCAATATAAATAAATAGCAACATCCTTCAATTGATAAACCATTCACATCAAAGAAAGTTTACAGACAGGTCAGACCATATATAGCGTGGTGAGCGCTTAACCAATCTGATTGGTTAGTTGTTTCCATAACTACAATTAGTTATGGAGATAACTAACACTCCCCTCCCCTTTAGATTTTTTAGAGCAATTTTAAATGCGCTCACAAAGCGTTCTACTTGATCAACACCCTCGACTACTTCACTCCCTATCACTAGTTCAGGTGCCGATGCAACCCAGTCTTGTAGCAACACTTTGCATTTCGAGGGTGAGAACCGCATCCCGAACATGCTCACATTGTTGCTCATGGTGGTCAGAAGACTCTGCATTTTGTCATCGTCTGCACCGAATAGAACTATGTCTTCGGCATATTCTAGATCAGTAAGCGACTTTCCTGGTAGAAGGTCAACCCCTGGAAAATCTGACGAGCTTAATGTTAACTCTAAGAGGATGTCTACGACATAGTTAAACAAGAATGGAGAGAGTGGACAGCCCTGAAGGACACCATTTGAAGTAAAGAATCCCGACGACAGTTCACAATAGGCTCTCACTCTACCAGTGGTGTTCGAGTAGAGAGCTTGTATAAGGTTAATGTACTTTGGTACACCTTTCAATGACAGACACTGCCACAGAACCTCACGATCCACTGAGTCAAATGCCGCCTTAAGGTCCAGGAAAACAACTATTGTAGGACGCCTAAATGTGTGTCTGTGTTCCAGGAACTGTCGTAGTGTGAAAATGTGGTCTATCCAACCACGTCCAGGTCGAAAACCAGTCTGCCTGGTTTCCTCTAGTCTGCTCTTCACGAGCTCTAGTTAGACGTCTAAGTATAATCGAGGCTAACAATTTAGAAACTATATTAGTTAGACTTATTCCCCTGTGATTGTCACAAGAAGACTTTTGTCCTTTCTTATAGATTGGGACAATCAGTGATTGAGACCAGTCGGATGGGATTACGTCCAGTTCCCAGATTCTACCTAAGATCTCAGTCAACCTAGCTGCTAAAACTGGACCACCATCCTTAAATATCTCAGGGGTCAGACTATCAGGACCTGCTGCTCTACTTCGCTTTAGATTTCCTAACGCTTTCTCAACTTCATGTAGACTGGGTGGACTTAAATCGATTGGCCATTCAGGATGACTGGGGATCGTGGGCAACCGAAGTGTGGCTCGAGGCCAGTTGAACTGGTCGCTAAAGTGTTCTGCGAATCGGTCTAGTCTCCTGGATTGAGAATGGATAATATAACCATCCTTTTCCGAGATAGTCTCAATCACATTCGGGTTCTTAATACCGGTTTCTTTAATAAGGCGGAAAAGTTGTCTAGTGTTGCCTATCGCCGCTGCCTTTTCCATCGCTTTTGCTTTCGCCACCCACCACTGTTCACGGTCGTTACGTAGGCATTTTGTAAGCCTGCGCCTAAGCTGACTACGCTCTTCATCATATTCAGAGTCAGGTGGGATGCGTTTTCGAGCATCCATCAGTTCGGTGGATGCGATTGAGACCCACGGCTTCATCCTAGCCTTATGGTTTACCTTGCTAGCAGATATCACTGCTGTTTCCACAGCCTTTTTGATATCATTTCAAGCTGTCTCCGGATGGGAATCACTTACATGGTTGCCTCTCTTTCTAGTTATTCCTGGAATATATTCTTTGCCTTATTATCATTAAGTAGAACCCTGAGAGGCCTCCTTACGGTGTCTTTCCTACGTCCAGTAAGCCTCAAACAAATACGAGCTCGCACTAGGGCATGATCTGAATACAAACATGTGGCTCAGAACGAGCGACAGTCCTCTATCGAACCCCTCCATCGGCGGCTGATGGCGATGTGGTCTAATGGCGTCCAACGTTGAGACGATTTCAGGGGTCGCCAGGTCAAAAGATGTTTTTCCTTATGCTTAAAATTAGTGTTTGCTAGAAATAGGCCGTTATCTGAGCACAGTTGCAGCAGACGGTCGCCATTGTCTGTTCTTTGAGCCGCGACACCATAACATCCACCTAGGTGTCTTTCATTTTCACTTAGTCTACCTACTAGAGCATTCAAGTCACCAGCCATTATAACTATATCAGAGCGCTTAACTTTTTGGAGGAGGTCCGAAAGCTTTCTGTAGAACTCATCTTTCACATCGTCTGAACTGCAGTCAGTTGGGGCGTAGGCTGCTATGACGAAGAGGCAACGAGGACTGTACCGATCCTTTCGAATCCTTACTGTCCCGTTTATTCGGACGGCGCATAAGCGACTATCTACAGGGATCCAGTCAAGGAGAGATTGTTCTGCCCTACGACTCAATGCTATACCTACACCAGCGAAACCTCGGGAACCAGTATCAGGGCTACCGGATACACGATGAGTAAATCGAGCTGACTCTTTGTTTTGATAAGGTGAGATCAAATTAATAACTTTACTAGGACGCTGTATGCGCGTTTCCGAGACGCAGCACACATCGATGGCACGAGATTCTAATGTCCTAGCTAATGATGTCTGTTGCCCTATTTTACACAATGTCTGTGCATTAAATTCTCCAACATGTAGTTTAGAACGGGGTTTAAGGAGACCATGAACGACGTTTCGCGAGCTCGCATCGTTTGCATTAGCTGTTTACTCTGATAAATTAATGTGAGAAGACTTAGTCGTGGAGATAAGAGAGGTATCAGAGGGTGTAGGAAGGATTTGATTTTGACCAATTTGGTCTCGTGTGCTGTTACGGGTATGAGGGCGGTTATAACTTGCCGGCTGCCCACACCGTGGAAAGTTGTTTCTTGAGGAACCTGAAAAGGAAGTTAGATTAGTGTTGGTCTTGGAGACCTGGGTGCGTGACCGCAGTTCCCAAGGGACAGCTGCTTGAGGCCGGTCACGCACGGCATTTTTATGAAAGGATTTTTGATTATTAGCTCCGCTTTTAAAAGCCCTTAGTGGGCACCCTTACCCAAGGAGACGGAAATCTGTGATGTAGGTTGAGGTGTGACATCTTTAGCGTCGACCTTTTCTAACCCTTCCTTCCTTGTGAGAAGGCAGCATCGCTGCAGATGCTGGTTGTCCCAGGGAAACACCCCACTGCTGTAACACCCCTCTGCAGTCAGCAGTACGACTTCGCCCCCAGACCTTGAGTAGTTGCTTTTAGTCTCATCGCTCTTCACTCGGCCCGCCTGACATGGTAGAACCTTCAGGAACATATGTTCCAGCCAATATAGCTCGGTTGGGTCATGACGATAGGCAAGCTCGACCACCACGTCAAGGTAGCAGCTTCGGTCGGGTCGGAACTTGAGTAGCGGCTTTTAGTCCCATCGTTCTCCGGTCAACTTGCTTGTCATGGTATAAGGTACAGAAACATATGTTCCAGCTGATATAGCTGGTTTGAGTCATCACGTTAGGCAAGCCTGACCACCACGTTATGATAGCAGCTACAGTCGGAAATATAGAACCTTTCTGAAATAGAATTTTTTGTCCAATAGCCATGACCTTAGTCTGAGTTCGTGAGTTAAGTTAATCTCCTGACACTACATAAGAATAAAAGTTCATTTATACAAGCTAAAAAAAGGCGCATAAAAAAAATTCGCTTGACAACTGTCTCGTGTAAAGTAAGAACATCGCTCATAAGTATGATTGTCCAGTGAACAACCAATAATTTTTAAAGTGTTGTTTGTACAATTTATTGCAAAATATTTACGTATAAAACATCAGTTAGCCATAACTCTATTTTACTTCCAAAATAGTATTGCTCATAATCTCATTTGTTTTACTAATCCAAATAGAATACTGGCGTCTACATTTCTTTCACCTTCTCACCTGGTTTTTAGCGTTGGGCGTAATGGCTACTCCACAGATGCCCATCAAATTCCAAGAACATTTACAGGTTAGCATTATGCTAAAGTATAACTTATACTCCATGTATTATAGCTCGTTAGTGTTGGGATTCAGCCTAGCAGCATAGGATTTAGTACTCTGACTATGGAGTCGGATAAGTTTATTTGCGTCAGAGAAAAGACTGGTGAGACATCACAGGTTGTAATTATTGATATGAATGATCCAATGAATCCTACACGCCGTCCTATTTCTGCCGATACCATAATAATGAACCCCGTAAGTAAAGTAATGGCATTAAAAGCTGGGAAATTGTTACAAATCTTTAACATCGAACTGAAAAGCAAAATGAAGACGTACACGATGCCCGAAGATGTTGTATTTTGCAAGTGGATATCTGTGAACACTATCGCACTGGTGACTGGAACTAGCGTCTATCATTGGGCTATGGATGGTGATTCAAATCCAGTCAAGATGTTTGATCGTCATCAATCCCTGGGGTCTAGTCAAATTATAAGTTATCGTTGTGATCCGAGTCAAAAGTGGTTGTTACTCATCGGAATAGCTCCACAGGATAACCGGGTTGCCGGATACATGCAACTGTACAGCGTGGAGCGTAAAGTTAGTCAAGCAATAGAGGGCCATGCAGCTGCATTTGCTCGTTATGTACCGGAAGGAAACAGCAATCCCACTACATTGTTTTGTTTCGCATCTCGAAATGCCCAGGCTTGTAAGTTACACATTATTGAGGTTGGTCAACCACCCGCGGGAAACCAACCGTTCGCTAAGAAAGCTATTGATGTTTACTTTCCACCAGAAGCTCAGATAGACTTTCCTGTTGCAATGCAGGTATGTGAAACTTCGTCATTTTCACTTTTAGACTTCGCCAAAGTACAACATAATATATTTAATAACAAAGAGTGGGTACTTACACCTGTATGATATTGAAAGTGGAACGTGTATATATATGAATCGCATAAGCAGCGAGACAATTTTTGTAACAGCTCCCTATGAACCAACTTCCGGTATCATTGGCGTTAATAGAAAAGGACAGGTATGATTGTTAACAAGAATGCCTATCTTTAGTTCATTTTCAACTGCTTTATATAACTCCACATATTTCCTAATTTGCTCTTCACAAATAATTTATGTTTAGTACGGTTTTTTTCACGGCGGTTGTTATTGCTAGTACTCACGAATGATTGTCCATTATCGCCAAGTTGTATATTTATTAATGACTAACTGGTACCTAAGTTGTGGCAATGGCTAAGTACGTGGTTCCACTGGCACATCCCTCTGATCATCATCACCAACAGCAACGTAGAACTTCGTACGTACATCAGTTTAAGTTGCCATACCACATTAGTACAAAGATGTAATTGTCAATTCAAATTCCATGGTAGTAGAGGTGGTAAAGGTATTAGCAGTAGTCGGATAGATTACGTTTCGACGATATTATTCAAGAAGTAGAATCTCGTGAAATAAACTTGAGGAGAAAAAGATAGTGATGAGGAGTTAAGAAGTTTGGGATTTGAGAGAACACAAAGCATGAATGCACCTGCGCCATTGCGAACGGCATATCCCTCTTATTAGGACTGCCATAGGTTAAGATCTTTTATATTCATACAGGATTTACGAGTAGCTCGGGCTTACTGTTGTAAATGGAAGTCATTGAATCAGTGAGCTTCATGGTTAAATGCAATCAGTCTAAATTTACTAGCTACTATGGATCGGTTTGCTGTCTAATAACCAGTATGGATGATGATCGGTCAGTATCTTTTTTCGCATTGTGTCGGGTCTCTATGAACATCGACTCGTCTATATCAAACACTACACTAAACATTTACCACCTCGGTTATTATCTAGGAGCACAATAACGATGCCATTTGAGGCGAATTAGTCTCTATATAACGTTTTCTGTGTAAACTAAGGTTGTTATACTCATTCCACTGCTGACCTCTGCTTCTATAGTGGCCCAAACACGTTAATAGTTTTATGAATTTTCCATCTCCAAGCCACTGGTTTTTTTGGTCTCTGATTGGTGTATATGTAGCTGGTGTACATGACTGAAAGTGATAGGCTGAGGTCCGCAAGTAATTGCTCGAATTCAATGATAACTTCGTAACGTTAAAGTTTGGAGATTACTGAGACCGTTTAGTTGTATCACTTTAAAAGTGAGTTGTTCACCACGCTCTTGACCGGTATTAAGATTAAGAGTCAGTCAGTCAGATGCAACGTAGAACTTTGTACGTAAGTACATCAGTTCATGTTGCCATACCTTATCAGCACAGAGATGTAATTGTCAATTCACATCCAATAGTACAAGAGGTAGTAAAGGTATTAGAAGTAATCGGAGAGGTTAGGATTAGAAGATATTCAAGAAGTATGATTCAGTGAGAAAAGTTTAGAAAGTCAAAACTAGAGGGGTTGAAGAATCCAGAAGATTAGAATTTGACGAGAACACAAAGAATAAATGCACCGGCGCCATTGCGAAAGATTCTGAGCCATGTCATTCAGGGTATCTGACCATCGATTATTATCACCTCGCGGACCCCAACCAGGTAGTCGACAACTACCGACCTGGCTAAGTCCACTCGTCAATGACTTCATGGATTTCTGCCATGTTTTGGTTTGGCCGCGCCTAGCTTTCTTCCAACCTATTCCTACACTACAAAACAAAGCTCATCGAGGCAGTCGGTGGTTAGGCATACGCAGTGACCTGTTCCTATGTGATAAAGAATATCTGTCAGGTTAAGATCCGTTGAGCTACCCTTTGTAGCAGTATAACGACGCACCATCGTCTTTACCAGTGGCTAATGTTCCTGAATAATATAATTTCACTGAATACTTTACGAGTAGGATAGTGTTTTGTTAACTGAACGGAATCAAAGCACTGATTGCACTAATGTATATTTCTCACGCAATACCATTAAGTTTCTATGTTAGATCACACCAGGTACGAGCAGTTTCTCCGTTAATTCATCTGGAATATTAAATAATACATCTCCCCTGTGTCAAATCATTTGATATGCTTTCATTGCTAAGTATGCTTCTGAATAACTTAATATGTAAAGATAAGGTTTTGGCAGTTTTTGTTGTATAGACATCGTCTACTTTGATGTCTGTGTATATTCGAAAGTTTAGATATCTCTTTATTATTTATTATTTATGCTCTAGGTGTTATCTGTCAGTGTCGATGAAGATACCATCATTAATTACATAACCACTACATTGGAAAATCCCACGCTTGCCCTCCAAATGGCTTCCAGATGCAATCTTCCTGGAGCAGAAGACTTGTTTATTAAGAAATTCGATTCTCTTTTTCAATCTAATCAGTTCAGTGAAGCTGCGAAGTTAGCAGCAAATGCTCCAAAAGGTATTTTGCGTACTCCACAGACCATTCAACGTTTTCAACAGGTGGGTTTTTAATGAAGCGTAAGTGAATTTCGGTATGACTTATATCATTTGCAATAAATGTCCGCGATAGACTTCATCCTCCGGTAGTATCGATACATCCGGTTAAGGATTGAGAAAGTACTCAATATTATTAATTTTGGTCAAATGATGTTCTTTCGGACGCTACATGTTTGTTATGACGTCTGGATTTTAGACTTGACTTTTGATTACACCATACACAAACCAGTTTTACTGCTTATTCATGAGGCTTCTTGGAAATGCTGTTTATTAGTTCATGTCAAGAAAATGAATACTATTAGGAACTAGGCGTATTTCGAGTTAGGTTTTACTTAATAGATCGTCACTTAGTTCATGTCATTTTATTTGTCTAACACGTGGGTTATATTTGTTCTGATAGGTGGTAACCGCCCCAGGGCAAACATCAGTTCTGTTACAGTATTTTGGAATTTTACTTGACCAAGGTCAGCTTAATAAGTTTGAGAGTCTGGAGCTTTGCAGACCAGTTTTACAACAAGGTAGAAAACAGTTGCTGGAAAAGTGGTTAAAGGAGGACAAATTAGAATGTTCGGAGGAGTTGGGAGATCTTGTTAAGCAGGTAATTTCCATTTTTATGAATGTTTATCCATGGCTTGAAAATTTTTACTGTGTGTAGTTAATTTAATAACGAGCGCTGAAAACTTACGGCGAAAAGTTTCAAGAAAATTATACCGTTATCCATGCGACATTACGGCTTACTAGTTTTTTGTTGATCGATTCACAAGTCCTTTCACTGATTACTATTCAAAATAGTTCTGGCTCAATTTGTTGTTGCATTTATTCCGTGAGAAAGTGGGATTAAATGTCTGAAAAAATAACTACAACTAAGTGAATCAACGATTTCTTCAAACTCTATTTTTCAACTGATCTGTTGGGAAGAAAATCACATGATTCATGCGCAAAGATAATAGATTAAATCCGAAATATCAGTACCACAACTTAATGTATGTAAACCTCTCCTAAAACTTGGATTTGGCTTAAGAGATGTCTCAATAATAACAATGATAATCTTGCTACTCCTTTTTACGCTCTTCCGAGATATCTGACGTTTTAGTGCTGTTAGCTTCATTTTCACTAAAGTGCCTGAATTCGAAGTTCTTAGATATGGAGTAGTACAGTGTGAATTGACCTAATGGTGGTCCTTTCTTAAGTAAACCGGATGATCATTTAATGTGTTCACACTACCTACACTCAACGTGCCATTAATTATGAGGAAATAGGAAATCAAGATCGCTTTTATTTTGTTTGAGTTACTTCAGGATTGCTTTGCAGTTGTATCAGGTTTTCACTTGTCTCACTGAGCATAATATTATCCTTTTTAACGACCATTAGCTTTCATCATTTTTACAGGCAGATCCTACATTGGCTTTGTCTGTCTACCTAAGGGCTAATGTCCCACCAAAGGTTGTACAGTGTTTTGCTGAGACTGGCCAGTTTCAGAAGATTATCGTCTATGCAAAGAAGGTCGGCTACACACCAGATTACATTTTTCTGTTACGCAACCTAACCCGTATCAACCCAGATCAAGGTTTGCAGTTTGCCCAAATGCTGGTTCAAGATCAAGAACCTTTAGTTGATTTAGAACAAGTCGTAAATGTGTTTATGGATCAGGGTTTGGTGCAGCAATGTACATCATTCTTATTAGACGCATTGAAACACAATCGGCCTTCTGAGGGACATCTTCAAACTCGTTTATTAGAAATGAATCTAATGTCAGCGCCTCAAGTAAGTTACATGTTTTGATATGTTGAAATTTTATCTGTTAGTCACATTGTCATCATATACCCATACACAGTACTAATATTTGACATTAGTATGGACAGATATTTGTTTTGAGGATGGTTTCTTACTTTAACCTCGAATACCGTAGTACGGGCAAGAGTGAGTCCCCTCTCTTGGAAGTACTGTCACGTAGCCACGAGTATATAGCTAATGCCTTCTCGTGGCTGGGATGTTGTTTGCCGAATAGAGAGGACAAAAAGTAGATGTCCAGCGCTTAGACCGTTTTGGTAGGTAGGGAGTGGTTATGAAATCCTGATTCCAAACCAATAGTGCACATGCTCTCCAGGATCCTGAGGTAACAACTTGTTTGTAAGCCTATTGTTGGTCACCAACTACCGTGGGACTGCGTCTCTTAACGTTGCCTTGTGGATTAAACCTTAGGTCAAAGGCTCGGTTAGTGGCCCCCTGAGAAAACCACCTACTTCGGTGGACAGTATCTGGACAGTATTCCAGTTCACACACATTGATTTATGTGGCAGATAATCATTTAGGTGCCCCTTTGTGCCGACCTTTGTGTTCAAATAAACTTTAAATATCGATGTCTTGCAACTGTAACAGAAATAAAAGCCCTTTATAAGTCTCAAGATCATCCTCGAAAGTACAATCAGACACTGATCATGATCTAATACGAGCACGTGTTTGTCTGAGTCTTACTAAACATAAAAGCCATAGTAAGGAGACTCTTTAAAGTTTGACCAAACGATGAGAAAGTCCGGTATATACTTCAGGAGCAACTAGAGCAGTTAGTCAACCAGAAAAGCGATGTTCACCTCAAGCGACTTCAGATGATATCCAAGTATCCATGGAAGTATCAATGATACCTACCAGTAACTAAAAGGTTGTGAAACATCAGTGGGTTTCGGTAACGCCTACCAAATTGATAGATGCTCAGAAACTGATCTTGTTAAGCTGACACGATGAATAGCAGAGGCAGCTTAAACAGACTAATAAAAATCTGGCTCAGTTGTCGTAAGGGAGTGGTGGGCGGGGTAAGCAAAAGATGTAAAAAGCAGCGGCCATCGATAGCAGTAGACAACTAGTCAAACTCATTGATCATGGTATCTTTGAAGCGTTGCTCGTGTGTTGTGAGATCACTGAGTAAGCAATGTTAGGGTTTTGCAACAGGGTACTAGATAGTGATGAGTGAATGGTGGCAAAGAGACTGGATGTCGTAAATCGCCATCGACGGATGAGGCTGGGTCATGGGTTTCGTAAGCTCAGCCACCTTGTGGATTATTTTTTTTCTAGTACTAGTGCTGTTATTACTTCTTTTCTGGTATTTGCCTTTGAAACATCTCCCCATGCCATTGCTGTGGGCCGGCGTTTCAGATCCCACATCATAGAGGACTGACTATCTGGGCTGCAGCAAAACAATCACATTAAATTCAGCTTTTCTAAACTGGCACATTGTTTCTCATTTTTAAGATTAGTTAGGCGTGAAAGTTGACGTATGGTTGTTTAATATTTGTGTACAGTAGTCACTATAACACTGTGTATTCAAGTCATCAGTCGTTGAACAATATCCCCATTTTTATGTAATTATAATTAACATTAATGTATGGTAAGTTTCCTTCGTTACAAAAGCCTAGCACAAAGTAATAATTTCATGTCTTAGCTGAAGAGCTATTTGAGCTCGATTTTTACGTTAGTAAGCCTACTAGCTGTCATAACGAGAAACTGGTTGTAGTAAAATTACTGAACAAGGGTACAAATGAGGTGATGAATAAGCATCGATATTACAGGGTTCATTATAAAAAGACTTCGAATATCCTTTTTAGTGTTTAAAATAATTTTTATTTGTTTGGAAAATGTTCTTCGTTATGATGATCGGTCGCAATACCTTTTAGGTTGCAGATGCTATCTTGGGCAACCAAATGTTTTCCCATTATGATCGGGCAGCTATTGCCCAGTTGTGTGAGAAAGCGGGGTTATTGCAAAGGGCTTTGGAACACTATACTGATCTTTACGACATCAAGCGGGCTGTCGTAAGTACACATTTATTAAACCCTGAGGTAAGTACGTTTACTTGAGGTATATTTACTTGAGTTTAAATAGCCTTGAGAATCAATCTAGTATATGTGTATTCTTCTAAACTGCTGTTCAGTACAGTTATAACGGTCTAAACTGTCTACAACTAGTTTTTTTAGACGTTTCTGTATCCAGAAAAGGCTTTTGGCTAGGGTATTTTAGGTAAAATAACGTATTTCCAGGTTTGTCAAATATAAAGATGAGTTAAATTACCATTGCCCATAGCTGTTTTTAAAACATTCTTAATGTAAGATATTTAATGCATGGTTATCACCCTGTTGATGAATATAAAATTAAACATTACTGATTTGTGTCATATTTCTACCTTATTTTAGAAACAAATATTCCTAAGTTGATTTCAGACAAAGTAGGAGTTATACCTTAAAATCCAGACTGTTCGTCTTTCATTATTTGCACTGCATCAAATTGAGTTCATTCAGCGATTATCGTTTACGACAGCATTAATTCGAGCTAAGGACTTCAAATTCATTTGCAGTTACGAGTTACGGCATGAAATATGAAATAAAAGCGGACCAGATGAAATCAGGGATTTGTTTGAAGAAAGTTTGCAGCAAAATGTGTGCCTTTTGTCTTTAAACTTCCATTCAAAAAATGAGTGGGTTATCAGCTGTCTTCTTCCACATGTTTTTTAGTCTTCAAAACACTGGTCGCACCATACATCTAGATCCAACACTTCACAGTAACTTCTGGGCAAAATCCCGCTACGTATCCACTGCATACTACTTATAGACGTCGTTGTGAGTGGTATGCACTACACCAGTACGATTTTATTTGTCATAGTCTTCGCAACACAGTTATTAGGCGAACGATAGATGTTTGAATCTTTATGGTCATTTAGTTCTCTTACATGAATGCCAACTTCTTTAGTACTTAAAATCATTTTATTTTAGCTTCCTCACTTCGCATTTGCTCACTACTAGTTAGAGCAGGTTATTAGACTTTCTGTGCTCTATTCAACATCAGTAAAACTTATGATTTGGAACGCCTAACTAGGGGGGTGTTCATCCAATTATTTTTATCACTATGACCCCATCATGTACTTGGCAGCGTTTACCAGCAGTTTTCTGATCACTGTAGTGTCGAAATTAGGTCTAACTTATTAGTAAGCGTTTCTGGAATGGTGTTTGCTACCGTTTTTAAAAACACTCCTTCAAATAGATGTGTCAGTTTTTACTAGTGTTTGATTTTTGTCATTCTTCTAGATGTTTTTGAAAGGTTTAATTGTTCTTTTTCTTTTAGTCTGTAAAAGTATTAAACCGATTTTCGTAATTAAACGTGATATTAACATTCACTTGTTTTATTTTCACGTGCAATGCATCTAGTCATTTTATTGCTTTACAAATTTTATAGTGGCTTGTCAATTATTTTGGCTCGCTTTCGGTCGATGATTCGTTGGAGTGTTTGAGAGCTATGCTGCAGACAAACATTAGACAAAATCTCCAAGTCTGTGTCCAGATTGCTACTAAGTATCATGAACAGTTGGGGACGAATGCTCTTATCGAAATTTTCGAATCATTCAAATCGTTTGAAGGCCTGTTTTATTTTTTGGGTTCCATTGTTAATTTTAGTCAGGAACCTGAAGTTCATTTCAAATATATTCAGGCTGCTTGTAAAACCGGACAAGTCAAAGAAGTTGAAAGGATTTGTCGCGAAAGCAATTGTTATGAGCCGGAACGAGTTAAGAATTTTCTTAAGGTAATAATTTTATTAACTACATATTCTCACTCATTCGTTATAAACGTGGAAAGTTGAAGTGGTCAATCTCATCTATGCTAGCCAGTTGCAATACAGGTTTAAATCACCCCGAGTACGTTACATACCGGTTATCTAAATACGTTTACTCTGTTCACCAAGGATTGTTGTTGATAATAGTATTAAATGTTGCTCATAAGCTTATTCTACCATCACTACACTCCCTCTCAGTAATTTTGAGAAAAAATTCCTTAGTTATATTTGAAAATATGTACTTTATTAAAATATTTGGAGACTATTGTTTTACTCTGATTGTTTAGTACACGCTACACTAAATTCCAAAGTATCATTCTATTAGTTGGGATCAATAAAGTAACGGGTTTTGTTCACTGACAATAAATCCAAATTCTTACTGTATTTAAAATTTAGGTATTCACTGCAATTCAGAATTTCTAAAATAGTGAAAAGGAGTTAGTTTATTTGTGTGTGCAGTAAATTCACGCTAGATATATATGTAAACGCTAGACGTCTTTTACTTTTACGTTAAATAGAAATTAACAGTCCAATGAGTCATATGAATGCTCTGATTATCCATTTTATAAGTTGGCATATCCACTTTCGGCTCCTTACGCAAGATTTATACATTCACTTCAAAAGTCAGGTAAAAGCTAAATGTAATAAACAGATATGTGTGCTAATATGGTATGGCAACTTGAACTGGTGTACGCGCGTACGAAGTTCTACGTTGTAGCTGACTGACTGACCGAATAAACAGATGTTTTAAAATCGCTAGTGTACGTTTTCTTAATTAGTCCCTAATAGTATGCATTACTACAGTCTGTGATAGTGATAACCGATTCGCGTTAAGATTGTACCTCTGGTCTTCATATTAGTTTTGAAAGTTTGATAGTTTTATTCTCAAAAATAGACCTGAATAGTTACGTACGAAGTTCTACGTTATAGCTGACTAACGGCTACAAGAAACTATTGTAAGTAATGATGATTTTGGGTAATTTGTCAATTTTATGTTAAAATAATGTTAATAAGATTTCTCTTATGTTTCTTATGATCTAAAACAAATCTTTATTTTCAGGAAGCAAAACTTACTGATCAGTTACCTCTGATTATTGTCTGCGATCGCTTCGATTTTGTTCACGATCTCGTCCTTTATTTGTTTCGTAATAACTTGCAAAAATATATAGAGATTTATGTGCAGAAGGTTAATCCAGCGCGTTTACCAGTGGTTGTCGGAGGCCTTTTAGATGTCGATTGTTCCGAAGACGTTATAAAGCAGTTGATGGCAGTTGTTCGTGGTACGTTTTTAATTTTTACTGCTTGTACTCTCAAGAATTGGGTAATGAGGCATAATGCTCCTATTATTATTTTTTTTCAGGACAGTTCAATACGGATGAACTTGTTGCAGAGGTAGAAAAGCGCAATCGACTGAAGTTATTACTTCCATGGCTTGAATCACGAGTACATGAGGGATCAGTTGAACCTGCCACACATAATGCCTTAGCAAAAATATATATTGACCTTAATAACAATCCTGAACGTTTCTTGAGAGAAAATCAATATTACGATAGCTCTGTCGTCGGCAGATACTGTGAAAAGCGTGATCCACATTTAGCGTGTATTGCGTATGAACGTGGACATTGTGATCAAGATATTATTAGAGTATGTTTTAGATATAATGTATTATTTCTAATTGTAATTTATTTTTTAATTCATTTGTACTTTGGTTTTTCGAAGCTCCATGATTTAGGTTGCATGTACCTGGAATAAACTTTTCTTATTTTGGTTTAAAAGTCGACTTTATTTTTTTAGGTTTGTAATGAAAATGCATTATTCAAAACTGAGGCTCGTTACTTGGTTAGACGAAAAGAGCCGGAGCTATGGGCAGAAGCTTTAAGTGAATCTAATAGTTACCGTCGACAGTTAATTGATCAAGTTGTTCAGACGGCACTTTCTGAAACTCAAGATCCTGAAGAGATATCCGTTTCTGTTAAGGCATTCATGGCTGCTGATATGCCGAATGAACTTATTGAACTTCTGGAAAAAATAGTTCTGGACAATTCAATATTTTCTGATCATCGTAATCTCCAAAATCTGTTAATTCTAACAGCAATTAAGGCTGATAAAAGTCGTGTCATGGAATATATTAATCGGTTGGATAATTATGATGCTCCTGATGTTGCTAATATAGCCATAAATAATTCTCTTTTTGAAGAGGCATTTGCCATTTTCAAGAAATTTGAAGTGAACACATCTGCTATACAGGCAAGTGTTTTACATGTTTGTAGATATGTTCATGTAGAAGTATATTATTAATGGTGAATTTACTTAATGGACTTCAGACTGCACCAATCCTATATGATTCATCACTAGTTTTGACCTATGAGATATCATATCTCGTGTAATCGAACATAGATTAAAAAGTATACACTTTAGTATGTTAATTCTGTACAACAAAATTAGTGTAGACTGATTGTGTATCCAGCTTCACTATTTCATTGTAAGCTTTGTGTGAACATTCCAATTCACGGGATTGCCTTGTCTACTTCAATGTGACTGCCAAATGTAGACAGTTGGTTGTCGATTCAACCATCTACCCATATATATCTGGCTGTACTGCAGTTAAACTCGTTTACAACAACATTTCTTGTTATTTCATCATTGTCTACCATGAAAAAGCCTGTTTGCATAATGATGCAGTTACTCGCGGGACTCAGGTGGAAGATTTATTTTGTACTGAACAGTCAATATTTAGGGACTTTCGGTTTAATCCGGTTTCCTGTGTCTAGTGGCTGCCAATCATAAAGATCAATATTGTACAATGATTAGCATTTGTTAGGTATTCAGGGTAGTATATGAAAGCAACCTAATAAATTTTCGTCATTCATTCTTGGTTCAGTAAAAATTGATCGATATTTTGAGTAAATGGTATCTGTAAAGAACAATCATTTAAATGGATAATTATGAACCGTTTATATTGTAACTAGATCTAGAATAATTCAATTTCTTGAACCCCACCCCACCTACTCCGGTTTAAGGAATTGCTTAGTATCATTGACATTCGCACTTGGTGTGGCTTATACACGATTATCCGGTAAATTAGCTTATTTAAATTAAAAAATTTCAATGTTGATTGTTTCTAACTGTATTTTCCTATTATAATGCAAAAGTTTAACCAAATTTTGTTTTTTGGTTTAGTGTGAATTTGTCTTCCCTACATATAAACCTCGTTAGTCTCCTGACAATGATTATTGTAACTTCTATTGTATTTCCCCTCTTGTAACTTGTTTCTAGGTATTAATTGATCATGTCAAAAATTTTGACAGGGCCTATGAATTTGCTGAACGTTGTAATGAGCCAGCTGTGTGGAGTCTTCTAGCTCATGCTCAATTAGCTCAAGGTTCTACAAAAGAAGCTATTGACTCATACGTGAAGGCGTCTGATCCTAGTCGATTCCAAGCAGTATCCGAAGCTGCTTCAAACTCCGGAAACTGGGAAGACTTAGTCCGGTATCTCCAAATGGCACGGAAGAAAACTCGTGAGACATTTATTGAATCAGAACTCGCCTTCGCCTATGCAAGAACCAATCGTTTGTCAGATCTGGAAGAGTTTATTTCAGGACCGAATCATGCCAATATAACTGCTGTAAGCACTATCTTGTATTTTCTCAAAATAACTTCATAATTTCAATTATAAAAGTAATGTATTTGTGATATCCCAATGAGTAGAAAAGTTGGAAGTTTTCTGACGTTTCGTTACTCATTGCAAACCACCTCTTCATGGAATAAATAAACGAATTAAATTACTCCAAGTTTGAATAGTACAACGGAACGAAACAAAAATATTCAGTACAACCAATCAGTCAATAAACAGGTCTGATCAGGTCAATGTCACATCACTCCTGTAGAAGGCATTCATATGGAATATACTTGTGTATTTGTGTGTTAATGGTGTGATTGTACCAAATATTTTTTCTCTGATCGATTGTACCAATGAACCTTTGATCAATTTGATTCTTTTGTTTATTCTCTGAAGAAGTGGCTTACACTGAGCGACGAAACGTTAGGAAAATTCTAACTTTCCGACTCATTTGGATACCATAAATATATTATTTTTATTATTAACTGTAACTGGAGCATAGATTGGATTAAAGCATGATTGCGTTGCTGCACGCTGATTGGCTCGTCCGTATCCAGTCAGCTCAACCGATACTGAGGGAACATTCTGGATTCTTCTCATGTAGGAAAACTATGAATATACTAACATCTTTTTCCTTTGGATCTTCTGACTTCCATCTGACCTTGTTGAAATATCATCTATTTCCTGTTCAACTGTGTTCTGATTTTGGGAGATCGTCCGAGAATACTAAGCGCTGGGAATAGCTGGGTTGTAATAAAGAGAGAATCATACTATTAACAATCCACCCAACGCTCAATTTATTTAAAATCAAGTTAGTCCTTGGTAATAACACCTACAAATTCATAATTTTGTGTCGAAATGTGCTTGGGTTTTGAATCTTATGGAATCTGAATGTGCCTAGTTTTTATGTATGGATAATTTAGTGAGCTTTTCTCTTACTTTTTAGGTAGCTGATCGTTGTTTTGACCAACAGTTATACGAGGCAGCTAAGATATTATATTCAAACGTTAGCAACTATTCCCGCTTAGCAATAACTTTGGTTCATTTAGGTGAGTACCAGGGATCTGTTGATGCTGCTCGAAAAGCGAATTCAACACGCACTTGGAAAGAAGTGTGTTTCGCTTGTGTAAATCATAAGGAATTTCGTCTGGCTCAAATGTGCGGTCTACATATTGTTGTACATGCAGATGAATTAGGTGATCTTATTAATTACTATGAACAACGCGGTCATTTCGAAGAACTTATTCAACTTTTGGAAGCTGGTTTAGGTTTGGAGCGGGCACATATGGGAATGTTCACCGAGCTAGCAATATTATATTCAAAGTTTAAACCAGAGAAAATGCGGGAACATTTGGAGCTTTTCTGGTCTCGCGTCAATATTCCAAAGGTAATTTCTATATATTTCAGTATATTTCCCATGCTGATCTTCACAGTAGCACTAGAATTATAGTTAATTGATTTTGCAAGCTAAACTCCTTTTTACACTACGTGTGTATTGATGATGGAGAAGGCAAAGGAATGCACTTTCTATAGCGACCATTGGTTTCTAACTCTGAGATCACGTGATATCAGAGGCACCACTGAATGGGAACTTATAGGCAGTTGCTGATTCAAAGTTTTTTTATTTTCTAACTCCGTAGTATTTCAGGGTTGATACCACTGTGAGAGTTTCAATACAGAAGTTATGTGACTTTATTTAGGCGATATCTTGCTACAAGTTGGTAAAACTTATGAATCATAATCGGTATTGCATTAAATAGAGTAGAAATAATCCTGAAGCGTTTGAGTTGAATGTCCAATGAACTAATAGAATGCTTAAAAAGTAGGCTATATAAAAGATCAATATTCGATTAAAAATAAGTGGCATTTGTTAGTTTTTTAATCACTTTATAGGCAACTGTAAAATCAATACATTCATCACAACAACTACTGTAGAGCACGATTGTCATGTTTGGGATTGAAAGCGCTTAGACAACTAATATTCTTGAATTTACAGAAGGGGATCACACAACCGACACGTACATGCTATCAGAAGAAAGCGAATATGCTTTGACGAGGAGTTGTTGGTGAGCACTTTTTCCTACCACTTCCAATTTTCAGGTTAAAAAACGTAGTTTGTGACATATCCGATGGTTCTAAGCTCCAGGTATTATCTGACAATAAAAACTGGGATATTCACTTCAGTACTGCAGATATATCATTTGGTCACTACGAAAATGTTTAAGTACAGTTTTTAAAAATTTATTATGCATGTTGTTGTAACTGTCGTAAATTTCATTTAATAATTATCTTTCGAACACCGACGAAATGTTATGACTTATCTGCCCCACATAATAATATATTGTAACAGTGATTATTCTGGTTGACTTCGCTTATTTCTCGGATAAATGTTTTATTCATTCAGTAAATTCACCACCGATTTTTCTGGATTCTTTTAGGTTGATGCACATAAAACTTTATTGAATTTCATTGTATTATTTCTCCTGTTCTTTGACCTATTTGTTATTATTCATTAAAAAACCATACTTTGTGTATTTTATATAGGTTCTTCGTGCTGCTGAACAAGCTCATTTATGGTCGGAGTTAGTATTTCTTTATGATAAGTATGAAGAGTATGATAATGCTATTCTTACGATGATGAGTCATCCAACTGAAGGATGGAGAGAAAATCATTTTAAAGATTTAATAACACGAGTTGCCAACGTAGAACTATATTATAAAGCAATTCAATTTTATTTGACTTACAAACCATTACTTCTAAATGATTTACTCATGGTTTTGTCACCACGTCTGGATCATACACGTGCAGTAAATTTCTTTATTAAGGCAGGGCATATTGCTCTAGTTAAACCTTATTTGCGATTTGTTCAACAAAATAATGCGAATAATAAATCAATAAACGAGGCTTTAAATGATTTGTTAATTGAAGAAGAAGATTACCAAGCAAGTTTCATTTTCCATGTTTATGAAGTTTATGGTTGACATTAAGTGGTTTCTTTCTCTTGTCAGTCAACGAAATATGCTTTGTCATCATTAGTTGACTGCTGCTTATAGCCTTTCTTAACCTCATTGAAAGTTGAAGCTTGCTTCAACTTAGCTATGCTAATATTAAGTATCCTGAGTATCCTGAAAAGGAAATTTGAATAGCGGTAGTCTTGAGACTTGGGAGTGTGACTGCAGCCCAATAGACAACTGCTTTATGTCGGTCACGTACGGCCTTTCTATGGGAAGATTTTAAAGTGTTAGCTCTTCAAATGTCCTTTCCGCCGGAGACGGACACCTGTGAGGTAAGGTGAGGTGTGATATTTTTAGGGTCGACCTTTTATAACTCCTTCTTTACTTATGAGAAGGTAGATGTTGGTTGTCCGAGGGAAACAACTTACTGCTGTCACACCCGTCTATAGTCAGCAGTACGACCTCGCCCTCAGACTTTGAGTTGCTGCATCTATTCTCACTGTTTTCCAGTCGAACTGCTTGGCATAGTAGAACCTATGAGAACATATGTTCCAGTCAACATAGTTCGATCAGGTCATCACGATAGGCGAGCCTGACCGCCACGTTAAGGTAGCATCTACAGTCTTACGTAATACACAAGCTTCTGTTTGGGTAGTCAGATGGTCTCATTAGATCTTATACAAACATTGTCTCATTTGAGTACACTAACCATCTCTGGATTAATGAGTTGCATTTAAAAATTACGAATTATCATGTTATTTACCTGTGTTAATGTATGTATAAGAGCTTTTATAAGCGGAGTTACCACTCGCTTCATAACTTTGCATTTTTAAAGTTCTTTTTACTTTCCTTCTTTTTAGGCTTTGAGACAGTCTATTGAAACACATAGTAACTTTGACCATATTGCTTTAGCTCAACAGTTAGAGCGTCATGAACTCATTGAATTTCGTCGTCTTGCTGCATTACTGTTCAAAGGTAGTAATCGGTGGATGCAAAGTATCGACCTTTGTAAACGTGATCGTTTATATTCTGTAAGTCCATCTTTTAGATTGCTTCTTCATTTCTTTTGATAGCTATAAGGATGAACATCGAATAAACTGATAAAAATCCAATACATTTTTAAAAGCTTTTTTCTAGATATATTTTTTCCTCAGGTTTTATAATAGGAACTTGCAGAAATCAAAGTGAATAGCTGGACAATTTAATGGCACTGATTGTAGGTTACCTGTTACGCAACGGGGCTGTTGCGTTGTTTAGGTTCACTAGTAACTGTTGATCATTAGATTCATGATATATTTTAAATCCGTTGTCTTTTAAACTAAAATATTTGCAATTCAAAGTCTAGATACTTTAATATCCACTTAACTATAAACTATATTGATTTGAAACTTCAACCCTCAGAACCATATTGGGTCCATTTATTCATTGTCTGTTTTATGTTCTTATTATCCAAATGATTTGCATCCCTTTTTGACTGTTTGACGACCATTTTCAGTATAAGCATTTTTCAGTACTGTCTGATCCGACGTTTATTTGAGCTCAAGTATGAAAGTAAACATTAGTAACAATATTGTGTTGCATTGAGTTATTTTCCTATTTATGTAATGGATTATGTATCTCATATTATTGCGTTTTAGGATGCCATGCAATATGCTTGTGATTCTCGAGATCCCGAGACAGCTGAAGAGTTACTTCGTTGGTTCCTTTCTGAAAATCTTCCAGATTGTTTTTCAGCCTGTCTTTACCGTTGTTACGATCTTCTGCGTCCAGATATTGTCTTGGAACTTGCTTGGCGCAATGGACTCATGGACATGGCTATGCCATTCTTAATTCAGACTTTGAGAGAATTAACAACAAAAGTATGTCGTCCATTTATAAATTTACAATTTCTTTGTCTTGTTTATTGTTCTTATCAGTTGTTGAAATCCTTGCCTCGTGAATTTGTCTTTCGTTGTTTTACGATATCACTTTTACTGGTAAAACACAGATATGTGTGTTTTAATATGATGGTAATTTTTCGGCGAGTAAAAAAACTATTAGAACAAGTGATAGTATTTACAAACAAATCATGTGAAGATGAATAATCGATTTCATTTGTTTACTACTTTTCTACCAGGTGGATCGTTTAGAGCGCTCTGAACAAACTCGTGCTGCTGAAGAAGAGAAAGCCGAACAGGCGATTAATCCGCTAGTGATGCGTAAGTTTTTTTCCAGAAAGTGTAGTGTGAACTTTTAAAATAAATAGGACTATCCTAAGAAATCTCAGAAAATCAAAAATGAGCTTATCTAAAAATAGCAGTTTCTAAACTAATTCAAATTTTACTATATTTAACATTTTTGTATAGGAGCTGAACCCCAGTTAATGTTAACAGGACCAGCAGGTGCTATGCCAGCAGCTTTAATCCCACCAGCAGGTGCGCCAATCGGGATGTTCGGAGTTACTGGCCCACAAATGTACTATCAAACAAACGGACCATCTTTTTAAAATGATTTCTGACTATTGTGATATACTATACTTGTTTTCAGACTGTTGTCTGTTTACTACTTATATAATTTTTAATTTAGCCGAAATATGCTGGTTTCCTGTTGTTTTTATGTTTAATCTATCTACCGAATTTTCCAATTATCGATAATTTGTTGTAAAAGGTGAGTTTGTGATCTAAAGTTCCATGTTTACGACGATGTTAATTATATATCAATTTGCTTAAATATGTTATTTTTCATTATTCTATTATTAAATATTGTAAATATTCCACTAGTGTAGTTCTGATGTTGTTAACCCAAAGGGCATGATTATTTATTGCTACTTTTTAATACCAAATGGTTTGTAATTAACGAAATTACGAAGATTTCACTTTATTATTAATTGTCTACTTTCATATAGTTGAATTCTCTGCCAATATAAGTTTTAGCGTTTGTATCACTTATATGTTGATTTATGATTAATGAACGTAAATGCTGAATGGATTGTGCAACTAGTTTCCTTGTTATTTTAAAAAATTCTATTAAATTTAATTTAATTCATTGATACGACAAATAACCACAATCAACATCTACAGCATCATTAATCTATTGAAATAATCACTACTTGTTAGATAATCAATTTTTCTCCTTTGTTGCTCTGATATGATCGTTCCTCGTGATTGAGCTTGACCCATAACTCGTGAAATAATAATAATAATAATTTTATTTAGTACTCTGTGATACTTAACCTTTTTTGAAAACAAAGTTTGTCATCACTCAGATATGTTACATCTCAAATCAAATTTGCATGATGTGATTTTAGATACCGCTTAGTATTATGTTTAGTCAATTCTAAAACTTCAAACTCACCAAATTATCGTACCTGATGCTAAGCTTTGTCGTTCACATAAGTAAGAAGTGGGATATCCTAACTTTGAAGCATGTGGTAATAAGCGCGCTAATAACTTATCACCCTTACTGTGTGCTCAAATTTAGAGTTAACAGTAGTATTTTTCTAAATTGGTTAACACCCAAGTTTTTGAATGCGGACAAAAATGGCTGGACAGTTTGATAGTAGAAGGCATTGGACACTTGTGATCAGTGGGAGTTTGCTTACAATCACTCCCAATAAATTGTTATTCTCTTCAAAGTTATTTAAAAAAAAAACTATCTTGAGTGATTTTATGATTATTACATCATTGATTGTTTAATAGCTTGATATAATAGACACGCATTTTCTTATTTATTTCACACTTGTATTTTTACTGTTGATGATTAGTTTTTATGTATTTTTTCCTATTTGTAGACGCCTCTTCCACTCAATTAGTACTTGACAGAGCTGCAGACTTCGCCAATGATTCATTTTTAAAGTTTGTAGTAAATATTGTTATGTATGGTAAACCAGCCGTTCATTGATCAACGGTTAAAACATGTTTCATATATCATTATCGTATTTCTATGATTTACATTTGTCTGTGGTTATGTCTCTCTGAGTATGTTAGCGCATGTACCCCTAACCATTTCCCAACCTCAATACTAATTGATTCTCGTTCAAATAAGGGGACGTTTATTCATTCCATTTATATTCAGTCTTTTTGGCCAATTCATCAAATCATTGTTGCGAATATTTCACTATTTATTTATTCATCATAATTGCTCTTATTGTAATTTTTTTCTTCATAGGTCATTTTTTTGGTTTTTTTCTCAACAGTAACTATCATCCATTTGTTTTTTCTACTTATTTTCGTGTCTAACGTGTTACAAGAATGCTCACATTCGTCATTATATTTATTAACCTTTGAAGCTTGAATATGTAGCAAAGTGCCCAATGTACTTGAAATTGAAAATCATTGTATGAACAATTATCAATTCGGTTGTATGTATAATCTAAATGTGATCCTATACATATGATATTATTTACTTATAATAACATCACTGGTCAGGAAAATGATATCGCAGTTTTGAATGTCAATTTTAATATTTCGGGATATGATTAATTTTCTGTCCAATTTACAGTTTCTTGTTCTTTAAACTAAGTATATCTTGATTAATTATTGATAAGAACATTTTGTATTAGACAGTTTTATATGATACTAGCAATTATATATTCGGATGATGTGGAAGTTTTCCTAATGAGCTGGTTACACGTAATTATTAATTTGTATTGCTTTTAATGAATCACTCTTGGTCGACTTTGTCAAAGAATACTCAGCGTATATTAGCTTTCAATAAGTTATATAAATATATATATTCCATTTTTCAGTCTCATGCTACGTAATTATTAATGACAGCAACGTGATATAATGTTCATTCTCCCTGTTAATATTTTTTAGGATTTCAAGTTCCAATGTTCTTTTCCCTTGTTGTGAACACTCTTTTTTTAGTGATGTATTGGTTTTACTAATTCTATGGGTTATGAGAGTTTAGTCATATACATTGAAGTCTAGATAGCACAGTTATTGGTCACTATTACCGAATATATCCGTTTTCGATCTTTAGTTAATCTAGGACATTTGCTTGATATAATTAATGCTGTTCAAATGGATCTTGGTGTCATGTGTGTACATATTTACGAGACACTTATGTACGAAGTTAACTGCTTCAAAATATTTTATGTGTAGTTATTTAAATATCGTTAAACAGAAAAAGCGAGCTTGGATGTTAGTAAATTCAGAAAGTTTCCACCTTCTTGTCATCTATCAGAATAACTTTTGGCATGTGCAATAAAAGCTAACACTAATCATGAAAATATAGAAGTTACGTGGTACATTCTATTCATTTAACATGCTCTCTAAGATACATGGACCTAGTGAAAATTTCTCCGAAGAATCTTTTTTATGTAATAGAGGCAGTTAGATTATTTATGTCGTCGGACCAAGTTCTGAGTTTCACTCGTTGTATGTTGAAGGAATTTCTGTGCAGTTGAAGTAAAACTCCTAAATTAGGCAAATCTAAAATGTTTAAAACCATAAATATAATTGGCTTGCTAGTTTTCTTATCAGGAGTGAATTTAACGGCAGTCTATTTATTACATCATATTGTATATAAAGACTAATATCCATTCCCTGAAATGACTTCCGAAAAATAAGCGAAAGTTTGGAGATTAGTTGTTCTCCTTAGAACCAGTCAACATCCTACTCATTTACATCCTCTTGCTATTAGTTACTCGACTTCACATAGAGGATTTGTTCTTTGCATACTTTTAACTACTTAAGTTTTAATGAATACAAAAGCCATAGCGAGAAGACTCTTTAAAGTTTGACCAAACGATGAGAAAGTCGGGAACATACTTCAGGAGCAACTAGAGCAGTTAGTCAACCAGAAAAGCGATGTTCACCTCAAGCGACTTCAGATGATATCCAAACATCTTTGGAAGTGTCAATGATACCTACCAGTAACTAAAAGGTTGTGAAACATCAGTGGGTTTCGGTAACGCCTACCAAATTGATAGATGCTCAGAAACTGATCTTGTTAAGCTCTGAACACGATGAATGGCAGAGGCAGCTTAAACAGACTAATAAAAATCTGGCTCAGTTGTCGTAAGGGAGTGGTGGGCGGGGTAAGCAAAAGATGTAAAAAGCAGCGGCCATCGATAGCAGTAGACAACTAGTCAAACCCATCGGAAAATGGGTGTTAAGAATGTGGCTGTTAGACTTTCGGTAAAAGATGGAAATATTATTCACTTTTATTCCGGGAGATTAGATCTCCGAGTAATCAAAACAGTCTTCTTACTTCACCTTGTGTGCGTTGTTCAAGTGGACCCAACCTCTATTCCAGTGAACCTGACACATCTGAATTCTCAGATGATGATATCTTACCAAGATATTCTCTTGTTGATTATTAGTATGTAGACGGTCATGCTAACAAAATGCAGCGTTCCGATCGCGTTGACCAACAATTGAAGTATATTTGAAATGAGCTTACTGCATATCAGTTTACTCTGTCCTTCTTTATGGGTATGGGGCATGACCATTAAGAGCAGAGGATATTGGTAGGTTACTAGTATTCGATCATGGTATCTTTGAAGCGTTGCTGGTGTATTGTGGGATCACTGATTAAGCAATGTTAGGGTTTTGTAACAGGGTACTAGATAATGATGAGTGAATGATGGCGAAGAGACTGGATGTTGTAAATCGTCATCGACTGATGAGGCTGGGACACAAAATACATTTGTCCATCGACCGGCTAGTTGACGTGCTATTTCTGGTGTAGGAGTACGTTGGGCATCCTGCATGTTGGCCGCGTCTATTATTTGTCGCTCCACAAATTCTATGCTTCAGAATTTCTTTATCATTTGTTGATTTATTTAATCGTATTGACGATTCCTTCTCTAATACTGTTTCTACCTCAACAATTCCGGCATATAACTTGTCCATCTTGTATATGTTATAGCAATTTTAATTGCTGTGCCTGTATACGAAGTTTCACGTTGTATCTGAGTTGCTAATCCCATAAGTTGTGTCATTCATTATTCCTAGGTAGGGAAACAAACACTCAAGAGAATTAATTTTCTCTTTATTCCATAGGTATTTTTCATTCGGTTAACAACTACTGCTAACCCTGGGCGAAATAGGGTAACTTTTGTGAAATGATCCATTCTTCGGTGAATCATATGGATAGTTGTAATCTCGATTTTACTTATCGCCTGTAGTAATCATTAATATACGTAAATTATTGGCTATGGATTGTCTCAACTTACTGGCCACAACATCGTCACTTGGTTCTTGAGTAAAAATTAAAATTTTGAATAAGTTCCCAGTGTGCATACTCGTAGGGATGGGGATATTTATCGATGAAAATGATTAGGTAAAGCTAGTTGGACGTATTTCTCTAGAAAACATTGTTATGAATTGTCAGTATGCTGAAGGTAAATGGAATTCTCTTTATCCATTTGATTGGTTATAGCATTTTGATTGTGAAACGTTTTTGATGAATAATTCTCTAATTTTAACAAAGAGATCGTTTGTAATGCGACGAGCTGTTTATGTGTATCCTACTAAACGTAAAATTGTTGTTGGTGTAGAGTACAGTTGACGTAATCACTTCCACAATACAAAAAATCTTTCATTTGCTCCAAAATAGTAGTAATCATTTTACTGCTGATTGTAACCAAAAATGTTACCAATTTAGTAAACATTATAATTTAACAATAAATTTAAAATGTGCGGTTGTTGAGCTGTAACATTCATAGCATAACAGACTATTAATAGTCTCATAATCCTAAAGTATTAGCAGTCACGATTCTCTATTTGAAATGTTATATGTCAGGTAAGTTAGTGAATAAACATTTCAATTTGTTCTCTATCGTATACTAAATTTAGAAAGTGTATGCTAAAATAAATTCTACTTTTTTCTGACACATTTTTATGGTATATTTTTGCTTTATACGGTACAATGATTTTCTTAATTAGTGTTTATATTGATCATGAAAATGTATTTTAATAAAAAATAAGCCGTAAGCAACCTGTTGTCAACATGATATTTGGTTTGTAATGACATGAGATTTCGGTAAAGTATTACTGGTACGAAAGTGTATAGGGCAATTAAAGTCCGTGTTTTTTTTATAATACACAATCTTCATCTGTTTAAGTTAGCTGTTGATATTTCACGGATCTATTAAAATAATAGGGTGAAATGACATGAATTAGTGCTACTTCTTAATTCTCATATAGGGCCGAACCGATGCTAAACAAGAATTTAAAAATTTAGTCTATGGTATCGACTAACCATTAATTAGAAGATTGTTCTTAATTAAATTCGTAATTTCTATAAGCTATGCAAGTCTACACTTCTCCTAAGCTAAACATTTCACAACTCATGTTACCGTGAGTCTATAATGAACCTAAGACTCACACTACTAATGAGTAGTCCTGACAGTTTGGGTAAACTTTCCGGATACTAAATGATTCTAGTGGTTGATGATTTCGGTATGGATTGTTCAAGTGAGACTGAGTGTAAAGCAATGAAACTTCTGGAAGTTTGCTTGCAATAAATTACTCTCTTAATTATGGATTTTTGGCGTAGAATCTGAGTATTTCTGTGAATTTTTATGGAGTCGACAAACGGGTTTGTTAAATCATTTAAAATTTTCAACAATTTCAGGGTACAGTCATTGCGTTTCTGAAAATATGTTCATATATCTACGCATACAGTAAATGATCAGTTGAATTTGTTGATATCTGAGTCGTTAGTAAGGTAGTTTATTCAAATCGATTATTAATTATGAAATTTTTTTATTGTTGTATATGTCAGTTTACTACGTATTTTTTTTTTTTACTGAACATGCATACTCTGTCTATTACCTTTGTCAACATTTCCACAAAGTAGGTATTAGCTAGCAGTGATTCTTTTTGAAAAAAAAGAATAAAAGCTAAATTTCATCCGTTTTTTTCTCTTCAACTGATTAATCACTTCCTATGTTTATTCTAACCAAATGTCTTTTAAACAGTAATAAATAGTAGCTAAGCAGATTATATTGTTCTTTTCTGTAGAATAATTTTGTGAATAAATAATAATAATCTGTGGCTGGTAGAATTCAAGCATGTTGGAAGTGAAACAGTTTTCATCATTGGTTGGTCACTCTATTTCTAAAATTGATTTAGTTTGTAAAATCTATCATCAGGCACCAAACCCCAGTTGCCTAAATGGTTGTGTTCGCTAGCAGACGCTTGGATCCTGAATTAGATTGCTCACATTTGAAGGATGATGCTTCGACTGAGATTAAATATATAAACGGAAGGAAGGGCTTTTTATCTCAATAAATTTTTCATAATAATAATAATGAATGAGAATTATTTTCTCTTGTAGTCTATATTATGCTTCAAAATGACATGAAAACAGAATTTATCTAGGCAAACAATTCTGTTTAGAAAATAATTGTTTTCTTTGGTTTTTGAATTTTGAACAATTTTAAATAATCACATATTTCACGCTGTATATCTTATTCTTGGATTTCTCAGTTTGAAAACAATACATTTATTAAAGTCAGTCTGATATCTATACATAGTATTCGGCGAAACTCAATGTAAGATAGAGTAGGTATGTCTCTATAATTTTCATCTGTTCTTCCAGTCGATTCAAGTTATACAGTGAAAACTATATTCAGAGTTAATGTCGCTTAAATGAACGAGTTTCGGTCTAAAGCGAATGAATCTGTTTACTTTAATGTTAGTTTTATCATAATTTTTTTTCAAAAAGAACTGCTTTCTGTCCAGTTTAAAACTAATGCTTGCATTATATTATGGAAAATAAAATTTAAATCAGTAGCCAACAAAACTAGATCATTATCAATAACTATTTTCAAAAAATGACCGATAATTTTTAAAAAATAATTATACACTGTCAATAGGATTTACATGGTACGACAAGTG